AGCGCCTCTAATGAGGCTTATGGGAAGCAAGCAGGTGTAATGAGACGTAGCAGAATTGCCAACGTTTGAAATTGAAAAATTCCCGTGGGAAATTCGGACCGCACGCCACTGGTGTGACATCCTAACGGCATTTTCCAGTCACGTCGTAGCTTGGCCCACACGTATCGAAATGAAAAAAAAAAGAAATGCCAAAACGCACCGCCAACTATTCGTTATAAATAAGGCTCGGATTATATGCAAAATGCATATTTGTTATTAAGAGGTATATCAACAAAATTGTATATCTGATTGCATACCTAATGTTTTTTGATTAAAATAAGCCAAATAAAAAACGCATATTTTGGCAACTTGGTGCATATTTTAGGAAATATTGCATATTTGTGCATATTTTCTTCAAATCACTAATTTCCGATTAAAAATTTCAGTTCAAGTTAAAAATTGGACAGTTTATGAAAAAATATTTTAAAGAGAAAACAACCGGTAATTCGTAAGCCAAACTCAAAAAATTAGTACCCTGCTGAGTGTTTCCTTTTCAAATTGTATTGAATCAAGCGTTTTTTTTTAAATCATTTGTTTCCAAAAAATAATAATTAATATAAGTTAAAGTAATATAAAAAATGATCTTATTTTAAGWACAAAATTTTGTTTTGTTTTTGAGTTATTCAATTTTTGTTGTCTAAATTGCGATATATGTAAAAAAATAATTTAATATAAAGTAAATAGTTGTAATCCCTTAGATCATGACTTTCATGAAAAAATGTTTTTTTGGTGGGTTGCCATTTAAAAAAAATTAATATTTTTGTAAAACTCAAAAACAAAATTACGACAATTTCGAAAAATTTAATTTTTGATATAACATCAGATTTTTATAGAACTTTATAATTCATCAATTAGTTTTTTCAAAAAATAAATATTTTAAGCAAAAAACGTTTGACTTTTTATTGTTCAAAATTTTGCATATATCGATGCATATTTGGAATATATTGGAGCATATTTCTTGATATTTTTGTGAAAAAAACGTGCATATTTTACAAATTTTTCGTGCATATAATCCGAGCCTTAGTTATAAAAATATAAAGTATTATGTATTCGACACAAACAAATTGCAGAGTGGACATAATTTTATGAAACTTGGTATATGATTTAAAAAAAAAACAATATTATTTATTTTTTATGTTGTTTAATTTAATAGCATTTGGATTTTATTGTTATATTATTTTATTTTGGACATTATGTTCCTCCGTTTTTGT